GCAAAAATCAGAGATGAGATTCTGAGGCCACCAAAGCGAAAGCCCTCCGCCACTTGGCTGCGCCTAGAAATCCTGTCCATAAAAATTATGAACAGAACCGGAGACAAAGGGCAGCCCACTTCACAGCACAGAAAATATTAAAAACGACCAATAACCTCCTGATGGCAGGTGACTCCAGTGTCCTCATCATCCTCACCCTTCTCTGATTGCAGCCTTTGATTTACCACACTATCCTTCTGAAAAGACTTTGGCATTAGTCATATCCTCCTAGCCTGGTTCACCTCATATCTCTCAGATTGCACTCATTTCATTCAACTTAAATTTCACTTTTTAGGTTCATTTTCTGTTTCTGCTGGTGTGCCACAGGGTTCAGTATTAGAGCCTTTTCTATTAATTTTTTACATGCTTCCACTTGGTTACATACTCAGAAATTTAATATTAAGTTTCACTGTCATGCTGATGACACTCAGCTGTATATTTCTTCCTTCTAGCCGCTCTGCACCGCGGCACTGGAATTCCCTTCCTCCTGATATCAGGAATACTGGCTCTCTCTTCTCATTCAAGTCAAAACTCATCTGTTCAAACTGGCTAACTCTCTTTAAACATTGATTCCAATCAATGACACCGTTTATACTGTAATACAAACCTATCTGAAAATGTGAGGAAAGAAGTCACCAAACTGCTGACTCATATTTGTGTTTGTGCAGCAGCTTTATTAAGACAAAGTATGAAACTAATGTACAGAGCAGCATCACCTCATCACGTTAAATATGAAGGCCACTGGCTATGAATGTCTCAGTGAGTTTGAGCTGGCGATGAACAGATGAATGAGTGCTGAGTTTCTGCAGAGCAGCTCGTGGAGATCCAGCTTCTCGGGTTTTGAACCAGCACACAGTTGGAGTCGTTCTCGGGCTCACCGGGGCTCACCGGCGCCCCCTTCAGTCTGGAGGAAGACAGCGAGCGACTGTCAACCCACGATGAGCGTCCTGGACCTCCAGACAGACCTGAGGAGCAGACAGAGGAGCCGTCAGTCTGGAAGCAAAGCCTGACACGCACCAGGCCTCAGGATACAACATTTCATCCACTGGAGCTCCAAATCAGAGTCACTGAAACAAAAACCTTTCATCGTCATCAGAATCAGCCCGAAAACTCATGAATAAAGAAAATCTGCTCAGGTTTGCGAGCTTAAAAGTTTCCAAAGAGTTCAAAGCATCAAAAGATGGCAGATTCAAGAGTGATCCAGAGGGCCACACCGACACCACAAAGCTTCCTTTGTGTTCAGGTGTATGAGAACAAACTCAGCACCTGTGTGACAATGATCCTGCAGTTTACCTGCAGCACAGCCTCCTGCCAGGTAACAATGACAGCTTGATCGCTCTGAGAACAGAGTTTAAAAAAAGACAATGGCTTTGCTTTCTTTGCCACATATTCAAAGTGACTCTACATTTCTGAAAACAGAACTTTGCTCGTTTATTCCTCCTACGTCAGCATCACCTTTGATTCTCTCTGAGCCTGCAGGTCCAGCGAGGTGTTACTAAGAGCCCAAAGTGAACATCTGTGAGGGACCAGATTCAGCCTGCGTACAGTTTCACATATCTGTGCTACATCCTAAAAACACAGTGAAATAAAATCTGTTTCCCAGTCAAACTGCAGAGGCCTGCTGGGGTTTGTTCAGACTTTCAGTTCTTTAAATGTGGATAAAAGTCAACATGACCCAAAAGCCAAGAAACATCAGGAAACAGCTAAATTAACTATTAATTAACTTGATTGACTGGTTATCATTATTGAGGAAACACCCACCGATCCAAAATGGCTTCTTCCCTGCAAACCTCCACAGCCAGCTCACGTCTCTCCTGGAGTGCACGTCGGTCAGGCTGCTGTTAAACCTGCCAGAGGAGAGGAGAGCAAAGGTCACATCAGAGAGCAGGTTCTTCACTGATTAATATTTCCGTCCTGCTCATACGCGCAGCACAGAGGTGCATGACCTCAGGCTGGCTCAGCATCGTTGCCTTAATTAAATGAAGCACAGTTTTCAAATGCTCATGAAGTTAAAATAAAAATCAAACAGTCACTGCGATGGTTCAAAATCTTTTTCTTGCTTTGCAGCTGCAGGCTGTTTGCCACGCACAGCTGGAAGAAACTCTGTGAGGACCTCCTTTAAACCGTCAGATGTGTTACAGCGAGACTCATGGTCATGTTTTAAACATGTCATGGACATCAGTGATGATTCTGACTTGTGTCACATCTCAGCTGAGTGACCAAATCTGAAACCAAAGATCAATCAGCAAACCGGAAACAGAACAGAAACTGAGTCAGAGGAGAAAGCGGCTTCTGTACAGCAGCGAGCAGGTTCTGTCGGCGCTGGCCCAGCTCGCCACGGACGGGCTGAGGATGTAACATCGTCTCCTGTGGTGCGTCCAGCCATCAGGACATGAGCTGCTCACAGACTTCCCCACCTGAACACACACAGATAGCCAGAGGTCAAAGGTTACTCCGGTGTGTGTGTGTGTGTGTGTGTGTGTGTGTGTGTGTGTGTGTGTGTGCGTGTGCAGGTGTGTGTGTGTGTGTGGGTGTTGTGATTGATTGTGCAGGTGTGTGTGTGTGTGCCTTGTGCTGGCGGAGCTCGGGTTGGTGTTTCTGAGCTTGATGAGCCATCTGAGGAGAATCTCCAACTTGGAGTTCCTGCAGGGGGCGACCGTGAGCTGACCAGCTCCACTCGACATCGCCCGGTTGCAGTTCCTCCAGCCGGAGAGGAGTCAGACTGTGGAACTGGAGGAAGAAGGAGGGGAGGAGGAGGAGGAGGAAGAGACATTAACACAGTGAGCTTCAGTCGGTCATTGGATAAACTGGCTGAGTGTCTTACCGTCCAAACCTTCTCCTGCTCGTCCTCAGGCCTCCTCTGTGCAGACAGACGGACCTGAACAACAACACAAAGTTCAGAATTTACAGAAAGACACACTCACACAAACACACACAGACGAGAAAATGGATCACAAATCTGTGAACAGATATTGTTTGAGAGCGCAGGCGGTGCCCATCTGAGCCCAACTTCCTGTTCGCTGATTTGTTACGATCGTGTGACAATCGTTCACTCTGACTGTTTAAAGTTTAAAGAACTCAGATTCATGTTCTGTCTGTGTCTCACCGTGCTCCCAGTGTTCCCAGTACTGCTTCCAGTGTGCTGCTGAATGTTTAGGTGGCTGCTGTGGGGGGTGTAGCCATTGCTGTGGGGCTCTGGGTCTCGTGGCTCCACCTCTTTGTAGTCCAGGTGATGTCGATTCGGGACGTCTCCTCGGGGCGGGTGAAGCTGGTTCTCCCACAGCAGCTCCGCCTCTATATTGATGACCGGAACCTCCTCTTCCTCCTCTTGCTGCAGAGGATCAGGGAGCTGAGGAGGGAGAGGGGGAGGAGTAGGAGTAAGGGGGCGCTGATCATCTTCTACCCACAGGTCGTCTGGGTCACAGCTTCCTGAGACACAGAAGCAATCCTTTAACATTCAGTCGAATCTAAGACTGACCAGCGGCTTAAAGTCCTAACTGTGATGGTGTGAGGATGGTTTGATGGAGCAGCAGTTTTCATTTCAAATCGACTGGAATCATTTTTAAATCCCACTCACAGACAATTTATTGTATTTATTTCTCAGTTTGTAGAGTTAAACTCATTCATTCATTGGACTCATTGATCAGATCAATCATGTCACCTCGGCGGGGGTCGATGATCTCCACGGTGGCCGAGCTCCTTGGTCCCAGAACGGCGTTCTGGGGGTTTCTCAGCGTGACCGTGAAGCTCTCGTGGTTTTCTTCCAGGCCGTCGTCAATCAAGTAAATGTTCCAGGTTTTCACCTTCACACCTAAAGCACAACAAAAAACAGCTGTTAGACCAGGACTGCACGCTGCGCCACAACAGGTCACATGATGAGGCGGTGAAAGTCCAAGCGGCGGTCAGACCTGGATCGAACTGGATGAGACTCGCAGTGCTGTGAGTGAAATCTCTGCCAGCTTTGGCTGATCCTTCGTCCACCTGAAGAAGAAGACGTCAGGATTTTAGTCCAAAACAAACCGAGCTACAGCTTCCTGCTCGTTACACGTCGGCTTCACTCTATTCTCAGCTGCTTTTAATCTAAGTCAGAGTTCGTAAAAGCTGGAGTCTTTCGCAGGTTTACCACAGCGGCTTGAAAACTGAGAAACGCTCAGGAAGACATCTGAGAGTCTGCGATTGCACTCAGACTTAAAACAGAATCTGAGCAGACAAAGCGGTTAGGAACTTCCTGTTTAATATATTATAAACCAGGAGGCGGGCGAGGCGTGACCTGGATGGCGACGTAGGCAGGGTCAGCGCTCCTCCCGCTGCGCTGCACGCGGATCTGAAGTATCCCGGCCGTCTCACAGGTTCTGTAGCAGGTCGCCGACAGCTCCACTCGAGACCAGGACAGCTCCAGCCTGCAGGAAAAAGAAGAGGTTGTTAGAGTCAGACAGCACCCCCACCTGACCGAAGGTTTCATTTATGTTCACAGAGTAACCACGAGCAGACAGACAGGATGTGATGTAACGTACGTCTGAGGCAACGCGCTGTTTCCTGCCGGATCTCTGAGGACAAACAGGAAGCTGTCAGACGTCACTTCCACGTCAGCGGGGAGGACGAACATCACAGCTCGCCGATCCACGTCACGCTGCGTGAAACGACCTTTGATGTACGACCCTGATGGAGCGAGAGAAGGAAGAGGAAGAGAAGGAAGGCTTTTAATCTGACTGCACAGTAGGAGAAGCACGTGAGCCCTGCACAGGTGAGCCTGTGTAAGCAACCATCAGTTTCCTCGCACACCTGTGGCGGCGTTCTCCAGGTATCCTAAGAGTGGAGGTCTGCTGATGGAGAACTCGAGCTCCTCTGTGGGGCTGTCAGGGTCTGAGGCCTGCAGCTCTCTGCTGGTGATGAAGATTCCGTAACGGCCGCCGCCCAGATCCACCACGGTGCTGGGACTCCCCCTGGTGGTCAGAGTGGGAGGCGTCCGGTCGACCCAATCCACCTGAACACAGCAGGAAGTTAAATCAGTAACACAGAAACAGCGAGCACTTCAGGGGGACGAAGATCAGAGGAAACTGAGCAGCAGGAATCGAAAAGAAACCAAACGAGTCAAACACACACAAAAAACTTTTTTATTTTCTTTAGGGAAACACTTCGTTTGTGCATCCGTCATCAACTCATCATCTCACTTCAGGACCTGAATGAAAATTTTAACAAACAGTGTTTTCTGGAACGTGTCTTCAGACTAAGTTCAGAGGAGAGGATGAGGATGATTTGTTGGTCATGCAGAGATAACAGTCGGGCTTCAGTCAGGCTTACGGCTTCCCAAGAAAGCGTCGCTCTGTCAGCACTTTACAGAAACTCAAATCTGTGGAAACGACAGATTGAAAGGTGATGGAGGAAGTGACATCAGAAACAGCAGCATGTGACATCACGTGTTGGCGGAGCTTCAGGTCATCCTTTGTCATCCTGATTTAAGATCTGAGCAGAGGCGGTCGGTGGAAGGAGCTTTTACGCTGCTGTTGTCATCAAACTGAGCACAAATCATCTCCCCCTCGTTCTCTCAGTGCCTCCTTTTCCTGAAAAGGCCTGCTGCACTTCATCTCAGGATTTTTAGGTTCTGGATATTTCAGAGAACTTTCTGAAGCAGCAGAAACTGATCAGTGTGTGTTATTTTACCCATCTCTCTCGCTCTCTCTGCCTGCAGTTCAGTTGCCTGACCACAAGGTGTCACCGATGTCCTATGTATGAGTCTGTTCATGGATGATTCTGCTGACACTGATGAAGCTTATGCCATCCTCTGACTTCAGCTCTTTTTTGGTGTGTGTAATTCATTTTCAGAGCAGGAACAGAACATCTGAATAAGACAAGGTCCTTTAATATCTCAGTGATCTGCAGCTTTTTCGGTTTCTAATATTTTAAAGAACAGAGGAAGGAGCCCTGTTTCATTCATCCGGGTCGCATCTGTTATGTCCAAACACAAACAGACATAAAATCTACGTCATCATCAGGTCAGAGATTTGTGCTGCAGGCATGAGCAGCTCCTCTGTGAGCGGATCCTCTGCTGCTTTTCATGGATGCTCCCTGCTCTAATGGCTTTTCACACACACACACACACACACACACACACAAAAAAAAAAACAAACACAACACACACACCACACACACACACACACACACACACACACACACACACACACACACACACACACACAACACACTCTCTCTTCATTGATATCCTTCTCACACACAAACTATTCGATGTTTGGTCCAATCACAGGTGGCCTCCAGAGGCTCGAGGCGATGGTGTTAGCCACCTGGCTGCCCGTCAGCAGGTAACCTGTGGGGAGGAATCCAACTCTGGGTCAAAATCAGGCTTTTAGTGGAAACCTGGAACTGGTTCCAGATCAGGACCAGCACCTCCTGTGTTTGGTCCATTTTCACTGCTGGAAGTTGCTGGTTTGAAGCCGTGTGCAGAGGTCCAGATCGTTGTTTGTTGGGCTCCGTCTGACCTGCTTTAGTTATTATTAAAATTTCGCGTTTCTGCTGTGAGATGAATAGAGTAATTCTACCTGTGGATTGAGCCACACTGACCTCTGACCCTGCAGTCAGTGTTTGGTTCTGCTGGAGTTTTCTGCCTGATTAAATTGAGTTTTTCCTTCCCACTGTCCCCCCGTCACAGGGGTCACGTGGTTGTTGAGGTTTACTTTGTATTATTGTAGAATCTTTACCTTATCAAAAAACCGCCTTGAGGTGACTGTTGATGTGATTTTTGGTTATATAAGTAAAATTGAACTGAAATGTTCAGACTTCCTGTGTTGTGTTACTTCCTGTTACTTCCTCTGAGTTGTGTTGTGCGTTCGTGGCTCACCTGTATGTCAAACACAGCAGGCTCCTCCCTCAGCTGCCCAAACTCCAGGTAGCCCCTGTTGTGTCCGTCGCTCGGCATAAAGTAGAACCCGTCGATCTTCGCAGGGCTGCTCGGGTCGTGTTGGTAAGTCAGGTGGAGGTCGTCCACGTCCGTCTGGGAGAACCGGGGCGGCGAGGGTAGTGGCGTGCCTCTCAGCAGCAGCTTCCCGTGCTGCGGCAGCTGCGTGATGACGTATCCCAGGTTGGCGGTGGTAGTGTCGGGGTCGGTGAGCTGCAGCTGGTCCGAAGTAATGGTCACTGTGGAGCCATCCTGCAGCCGGAGGCCAACGTTGCGGCTGAGGGTGGGCGGGATGCGGTCACCATGCTCGATGGTGAAGTGGAGGGTGGAGCTGCGAGACGAGTCACCGTTTGTAACAACAAAACTGAGGAGAGAAGAGTGGAAGCAGTTAGAAACTGATCTGATATTTAGCTTCAACTCAGTTCTGCAGCGCCTCCCGATGGGAGAACATGTTATACAGGACATTGTCCTCAGGTTGAGGCAGTGTCCCCCAAACCAGTGTGTGTCTGTGTGTGTGTGTGTGTGTGTGTGTGTGTGTGTGTGTGTGTGTTTTGTCCTCTCTGCTCTTTGCCAACACAATCTGCCTCTCAGCCCTGCAGCTGACAAACTGCCCCAGGCCTACACACACACACACAGTCCTGGTGTAACATCTGGCTGCAGTAGTGTCCACGTTTGCCCAGGGACGGCCGTGCTCTGGTTGTCGGTCGCTGTCGTGCCAACGTTGTTGTTATTTTTCTAATAAGACGCACACACACACACACACACACACACACACACACACACACACACACACACACACACACGTGTGCACCTGAGTCCTAACACACATCATCAGTTAAAAGGTAAATCCAGCCACAGCTCAAGCTCTAAAACAGGGTGTCAAACATGTGGCCCGGGGGCCAAATCCGGCCTTTCAGAGGGTCCTTTAAAAGCAGCCAGCGTTAATGTTGAAGAATAAAAGATTTTCACATCATTACTAGTTTTTGATTGAGGCTAAATATTTCTGTTGTTCCATGACAGAGACACACTAACTGTAGGAAACTGAGACACGATGTTCAAACTGGTTTTTCTTCATCTTCTGACTCGTCGGGCTGTTCGTGATCTTATCTTTGTGACCTTATTTTGATGTTTTTCGAAGTTAAAAAGGGGACATTTCCTCCTCCTTGAATATATAACTGTAGTGGTCTAAACTACATGAGACTGAGTTTGTCTGTGCCTTCTAAAGCTGACAGACTTACGCTGATGAAAGCTGTTTCACCCCGATTCTGATTCCAGATCTGATTCCGATACTAGGAACGTGATCAGAATTAAAGGAAATCCAGTGTAGTTGAAGCCTAAACTCTAACTGTAAACCTCGCAAGATAAGAAATACTTCCTCTCAAAAGTCTGGAAATTACTGCCCCCCAGCAGCCAATCAAAAAGAAAATACACAAAATGAAAACATCAATAAATTAAAGTCATTCGTATAGCTCTAACATGAATGCAGGTACTGAGGTGTGAGGTAGTAAAGAAAGTGTTCAATTATCAGTTATCCACATTCATGTACCACAGCTACAACCACTGGAGTCAGCTGATGGAGGAATCTAATCGGCGAAAGCAGTTATTAATTCCCGCAGCTTATCACAGGTTTTATTCCGTTCAATTGATGTTTGATGATAAACGATGACCTCACTCGCTATCGGTTCTACACAGCCACAACTTAAACAGACATAATCAGCTGGAGCTCAACAGGAAACACAGCACACTCTTACACTATGCAGATGACACCCAACTTTCTGTGTGAAGCCAGATAACACACACCAACTACTTAAACTGCAGGGATGTGTTAAAGACAAAGACCTGGATGACCTCTAATTTTCTGCTTCTAAATTCACATAAAACCGAGGTTATTGTACTCAAACCTAAAATCTTACAAATATGGTATCTAACCAGATACTTACTCCAGTAACACCAGACCAGCATGTCATTCAGTTAAACAAACTATATTAAACAAATATGTAGGACAAATGGAAGAACATTTGTGCAGGATCTCTAAAATTAGAAACACCCTGTCTCAGAGTGATGCAGAAGAACTAGTTCATGTATTTATTATTTCCAGGCTGGACTACTGTAATTCATTATAATTCAGCTGCTCTGGAAGCCGTCAGAGTGTGGCTCTCTCTCTCAGTCTTGGCTGTGATCTGATGGGTGTTCTGGAGCCAGATAGCCAGCCGGCTGGGGCAGCAGAGGTCTGGGTGACAAACCCGGGGTCTGCACACACCAGCATGCTCCCCTCCTCCTCCTCAAAACCCTAACCGCTGCCAAATTGGCTGGAAAAGCAGATAAACATACTGCAGCAGAGAAAGCCTCTCGTCTCCTGATGCTGAGCCTTTTTTCCTCTCGTCTCCGTGCCCAGTTTTCTTTTGTTGGCCAAATGTTGTGTGTGATAGTTTTGTGTGTGTGTGTGTGTGTGTGTGTGTGTGTGTGTGTGTGTGTGTGTGTGTGTGTGTGGGTGTGTTGGGGAGGTGTGTGTGTGGTGTGGTGTGGGGGGGGGGGGGGGGGGGGGGGGGGGGCTAGAAGAATTCTCCTCTCACAGTGTGCAGATTTTCACAGGATCCTCAGCCTTTTATTCATCATCACAAACAACCATTTTATTCTGTCATTGTAACTTGTATCTGGACACAAAGTGATTTAAGGACTAAAATATTCTTCTTGACAATTAGATTTCTTATTTAACAACAACAGGGTTTTAAAACTTCATAAGACCTTGACCACTCTGAAAGCATCACTTTTATTTTGAAAATTCACTGTGTTTAATAGTTGCCATCTGACATGCTGGTTGGTCAGGTTCCTGTTGGTCCTCAATATCACTCAACCTCCTCCTCGTTCTGTTTTGGAAGCTTCTTCTAACCAGAACCTGCAGCAGGAGGACCGTTTGTGAGCAGAACCAGAGCTACCACCTGCAGAGCTCAATTCAATTTTATTTATATTTAACAGCGCAAATCACAACAACAGTCGCCTCAAGGCACTTTATATTGTAAGTGTAGATCCTACAATAATAACAACAGAGAAAAACCCAACAATCATATGACCCCCTATGAGCAAGCACTTTGGCGACAGTGGGAAGGAAAAACTCCCTTTTAACAGGAAGAAACCTCCGGCAGAACCAGGCTCAGGGAGGAGCGGCCATCTCAAGTTGAGATTCAGTGTTTCGACACAGTGACGGAGTTCCAGCAAGCATCTTAAATCTTTAATGCATGGTCAGAAAAGAACCTCCAGGAAGTGTCCTTAAATCAAGGAATTGGTCCGGAGAACACTAGCAGATGACCTCGGAGGGCAAGTGGGGTAAACTTAAATATACTAAAGAACACACCGTGTCTAACACACAAACACACAGCAACGGTTTGAAAGCTGACAGATTGCACTGTAACAGTTCTTGGAAAAAGAGCAGAGAGAAAACCCGGAGTGTTTGTTTTTTTAAAAATCAGGCTCCGCCTTCACCTGCACAGCAGCTGTCATTAAAAGAAGCTGCTCTGAGCTCCAACTCTCACCTGAAGGAGTCAGCCTCGGCATCATGGCTGTTGTCGTGGGTGTAGCAGACTCGGTGCGCGGCCACGTCCAGCTGGGTGAAGCTGAGTAGCGGGACTCCAGGCCGGTGGACGGCGTGGACGAGGCCGTGACGCGGCGGGTCAGACACCGTGTAGACCAGCTCCTCGGGCCGGCCAGTCGAGTCTGATGCCAGCAGGATGTCAGTGTTCAGGACGACACGCTGCCCCTCCCTCAGGTGCACCGGCCTGCTCAGCACCACGACGTCCCCTGGAGGCAGTCAGAGGGAGCGTTCAGGTGTCAGAGGGGACCGAGCGATTGCCTACATAATACATGTGACAGTCAGGGCCCAAGTTAAACTTTTCAACTAAAAAGCACCCAGAGGAGGTGAGGAGGCGCCCTCCACAGCTGCTCCACCTCCCCGCCATTAATTATTCAGCAGCCGAGGAGGTCGGCCATTTCTCACCTCTCTGTTCCTCCAGGATCACAGGGCGCCAAGCCAGAAGGGCCGCAGACCCACGGCAGCGTGTTCATCCGACTGGTAAAACCGGCAGGAAGGGGGCGCGCTCAATAATGAATGAAACAGGGCCACACAGGGCCCTGTGTGTGTGTGTGTTTGAGTGAGTGTGTGTGTGAGTGCGAGAAAACATGAAATAAAATCATGACCTGGATAAAAGTGTTACTGCTGAATTCTCTGCATTAAAACTCTCTGTGACCTCTGACCTTTCTGCATCACGTGCACAGAGATGAAGAAGCTCTGAGCCGGAGACTCGTTGTCCAGGTCGCTGAGGGTGAAGCGGAAGCTGTCGTGACCTTTAAAGCCGGCTGCGTTGGTGGCGGCGGTGTGTTGGTACCACAGTCGGTTCATCTCCACGTCGCCCTGTGTGAAGTTCTGACCCGCCGTCAGCTCGTTCCACCCCGACGTCGTCTGCGGGCGAGACGCTCGGATCAGGAAGAGACGCAGCAGGAAGACAAGTCACCTTCAACGTCTCACATCAGCCTCAGGTCACAATTTAATCAGGAGGATTTAACACCTGCACAAACACACACCTGACTTCCTGTTTCTGCCACTTCCCCTCCCATCCTTCACTCCTCTCGTTCCTTTCTCTTTCCGCTCTTATTCCCTTACTTTATTCTACCATTTGTTGTCTTCATCCTCCCTTCACTCCTCCTTTCCTTCATTTTCTCCTTTTCTAATTATTTTCCTCATCTTGATTCCATCCTTAGTCTTTCAATCCTTCCTTCCTTCCTCTACTCCTCTCATCCTCCCTTGTTCCTTTCTTTTTCCTTCCCTTTCCTCCTTTAATTCTTCCTTCTTTCCTTCCCCCCCTCCTCTTTAAACTTTTAACCTGGAAACAACTCAAACTGAAATCTTTGCTTATTATAGAAGTAAAACTCAGTAAACACACACACGCATGCACAAACACACACACACACACCTTCAGCTGCAGTTTTCCAAACCGCGGAGCAACATTAAGGAAGTAGTACACCTGTTCTGGGGGCGTGTCCAGGTCCTCAGCCTCCAGAACCACACTGGAGATCACCCTGAGCTCACCTGAGTCCACCTGCAGTCCAGCATTCCTGAAACACCACAGAAGAAAATTTCTCATTACGTTTGTGGTCAAGCACGTTTTTCTGTTCTCAGCATGCTCATAACTTCCATCCTGCATGGAGTTCAACTCAAACATCTGTTTAACTTAAAGTTAAACAGATGTTTGAGTGCCCCCTCCTGGCAGATCTGTGTTCAGAGTGAGACAAAAGTTCACTTAAACTTGTTTCCTGTGCAACAAAACTGCAGACAGAGAGGAGGTAATGACACTGACCCTCTAAGAGCATCTGTATGTCACAACACCAAGAGCGAACCAACATCTCTGAGGTGAAGTGCAGAGGTGGAGAACAGAAAATATTGGTCTGCTTCAGCTTCATCTTTTAGCTGCACTCTGGATGACTTTAATAAAAAATATTTCTGACTTTAAAAACATCTTGCTTTATTTTTATCATCAAACACGTTTCGCCCTACAGGATTCGAAGAAAACACGAACAGAAGCCGTTTGATGTGAGTCACGAGCAGGAGGGTGAAGGTTTGTGTGAGCAGGCTTTTCCTGTGGGATGGTGGAGATGTTGGTGGCGCTGGGGTCTTTTTTGTTTTTTTTGAGGTGGGGCGGTGTTGAACATCAGGAACCATCTGGCTGCTTCTTCACTCGGAAGTAAAATCCACGCAGGAGCGAAGCTGCCACGTCCATCCTGCAGGAAACGGGAAAACAAGGCGGCCGGCATCTGCCAAGTCTCTGTATTATTTCTGCCTCGGCGGCCTTTACAGCACCAGCTCAGCCTCCGCCAGCAACCTCCACCCCCACCAACACAGCTGATCTGGGGACGGCGCAGGGGAGGGGGTGAGGGACAGTGGGTGGGAGCCCAGTCAAGGATGCAAATTCACAATCAGTGGAATGAAAACACTAAGGATGGGGGGGGAGGGGGGTCACAGGTCACATGCACCTACCACCCCCTCCCCAAATGCTCTGGATTACACAGCAGCTGCAGACAGATGTTAAACCGGACGTCTGCTGACAGTTCAGGACTTAAACGAATATCCGAACACCCAAACAACACAAAAAATTCTAAACAGCTCAAAAGGTGACGCGATCGGAGCCGGAGAGATTTCTGAATTTCAACTTTTAGGGTCCAACGCTCAGACTGCAGAGGAACAACAGAGGTACAGGTGTGAGGTGGAAACACCTGGACTGAGCATCACACATAAACTTTTATTTTTAGAGTTTTTACGCCGTATTAAGAATTTACTGCACTTGTTTCT